AGGTGGGTGTTTGGTTCAAGTGGGTAAGGAGATCAGTAAATGGTTTTTCTGACACCCTAGCAAAACAAGGGACTGCAAGGGAGAGTCTTTTTTGGGCAGTKCTGTAATGTTTGATGTTTATTGGATCAACCTTTTCTAATAAGGGTTGAATTCTGTATTTCAAGTTAATTTATCTCTAATGAAAGTTATCATTTCTGATAAAAAAAAAATTATCATTTTGTTTTTTGGGAGTACATAATCATGTACTATTCTTTTTAGGGAGTAAAATCTCTTTCACAAAAGCATCCCCTCATCCCAAGAACTGGAAGTAACTATTATTTTAGAGGTTATTCCTCTGTGTGAACTTTAGTTTCATCATCATCCAGCATGTGGGTACATAAATTTGTTCATGTCACATGGACAAGATATTCTTGTTTACCAGATAAATCATTAAACAAGAAGAACCAGGATAATGTTGTGCAATCCAGAACAGAACAAAACAAAATAAAATGCATTATTGTAGTCCTTACCAACCGGCATGTTCAATAGCATCCTCTGCAGCAGCATCCAACATCTCAATCATCGAAGGGTGAACAAAAACAGTATCTAGTAGAATACCTTCAGGATATCTGGACTAAATTGGAGTGCATAAACACATTTTTTATTACATAAGGATCAAAAAAGCATCCTTGAGCAGAAAGTTCAACAATCGAAATGTTAACAATTATTTCTTGCAAAAATAATATAACATAAATAAAATACATTCTGCTACCTGTAAGTATTGCTTAGGCTGGGGTATTGCAAGTTTGTAAAGAACTTCATAACTGATAAAAGAATTCTGTAGTGCAAAAAAAGAAAAAGTTTGAATAAAGAAATAAAAATAACAGAAATTGGAAATTGCAAGGCACCAAACCATTATTCAACAGAAAAAAAAATGACAGTAACAAACAAAGTAAAAGGAAAGATCTTAAAGGACCCAGTAAAAACTGCAAGGAATGCTGAATAAACAACTAACAAGGTCACAGTCTGAAGGGATGAGTTAATGACTTTTTTTGTGAAAAGAGATTAATGGGATAAAGTTGACATAGGCACGGAAACAAACAGACAGAAGGAAACAAAAAGAAGTCTGCTAGAGAATGGATGAGTGAATCTGAATATGGGCAAAGGTGTATGACATTTCTAGCAAGAACGTAATCTAGCAGCATCCAATTAGCAAATCCTCTAAACACGCTGTAGTTTCGAACTTCCAAAATTAAGAGTGTGATTGAAACTTCAATTATCCCTGACCAGTAACCACCCATAATTTAGATCTACACTTTGTTTGGTTTCAGCTACAATCCTTAATTTCACATCTGCTGTGACTCACCCAAAAGAATTCCATATTTGCACCCCACATCATGCAATATCCATCAGCCTTGATAAAAGTTAATAAGGCCAAAGCTCCAGAAAAATTTTGACTTATTACAATATCCATTAGCCTCTTTGAACATTCTCATAATCAAGCAGCAAGTAATCATCTGGTATCCAAGATTTTTTTGAGTAAATTCACAAATAATGGACATAAATCCTGAGAGTGCCCTTATATGGTACAGTTGTAAAGGATAGAATGATACAAGATTTGTTCATGTAGCTCTAAAACACAGGATTTGTCTTCTAGCCAAGTAAACTACCCAAAATCCAAAAGGCTACAAATGCATTAAGGATTAAAGGTTCAAACCTGTGAGAAGAAAGAATCTACACTCTCTTTTTGTGCATGGGCAAACACCTGTACACCCAATTGTACAAACAATTACCATTACAGATAATATATGTATATGTATGTATATACTAAAGAAAAACAGAAGGAAGATTAGATCCAATACAGCTGGCGTCCAATGAACTCCTGCACGAAGTGATCCAAGGATCTCCCCGCCTTTTACAAGCCCATTAAACAAGGAATGGAAAAAGGCAGATTCAACAGCCACACCATTGGCTCCATCTATTTCCTGCAGTAGTTGCTGTAAAGAGCTCCAGACCGTTGACAAATTAGTTGGAACTGTTATACCCCTGGCAGCTCCACGAACCATGGCACTAACACGTGTGACATACATAGGTGTATACAGTTGCCCACCTTCCAATCTCCCCTTCACCTGGATGTTAGGCAGTACAATAAAACTTACAAAATAATCCACTACAAAACTGCATACGCATGTATCCTAAGAATCATTGCAAGTATCAACAGAACTTACAATGCTCCCAATGCGAGGCTCCAACACAGTTGCCACCAATTCTGAGCCCACATGCAATTGCGCAGCAAGTTCCGCCAGAGCAATCTGACTACACTCCTGAAGCCGCTCGTTGATTTCTTCCGCTACAGTATCCCAATAAGATTGTGATATAATTTCTCCCTGTATCAGCATAAGACCGGAATCATCCGAAACTATTTGATGAGCTTGCTTCTCAACATGATATAAGTCCACCCCAATAATGTCAGCAAGTTCAATCAGAGAAACACGTCCCGATTTCTTAATCTCTGCCACCATTTCAAGCTTTAATTGATCCTATTGTAACAGATCACCAAATTAGCATTAATAATGTAGAATAACAAGTAAAACCCTAACACGAGCTATTAGAGTTTGCTAGGAAACCATGTGGTAACATCTAAATCATGAAATCTATGTAATTCGATCAGATTGGCATAGAACGAACGTGAAAAAATAAAAAAGACGAATTGAAAACCATCAAACGAAAATCAGATAAGAAAAGAGGTAAGCATACAGGTGTTATATATTCTTTTCCGGTGACAGTGTGGAGAAGCTCGAAATCGATGATTTGAAGCTCTTGAAGCTTTTGAACTAATTCAACTACGTTTCTTTCCGACAATCTGATGCTCGATTTTGCTTGTTGAGCGAATTCGAACTGTCTCTGCAATTCCAGCAATTCGTCATCCATCTTCTCTAATTCGAGCTTTCGGCGGGAGATCAGATGATGTGTGTTCTTCTAATTCAGTTTCAGTTCAGATCATAGCACTAGCGTAGAGTTCAGCGCGAATACGTTTTGTGGGTTAACGTTTCGTGGACGAATCATATATAAATCACCGTCAATCCTCGACGATTTTTTTATCGATTCGGACAGGTCCGACAATTAGGTTAGGGCTGCAAAGTGCAAACTGCAATATGATAGGATCCAGTTATATCTGAACCCGAATCACACCCCGATAGATCGGATCCAGATGACAATTAATCGCGTTATATCTTTATCTTCGTTTTTTTGGGTAAATACAAAAACCTCCCCTGTGGTTTCTGACAATCATAAAAACCTTCCCTCAAGTTTTACTTTAAACTCTACGCATACCTCCCTTCCGTCAATGAGCCAGACAGAAAATGTTCAACGATGCATTAATTTTTCAAAATGGCCATCTTACCCTTTTAAAGGATTCTCGAGCCCAGTTATCATTCTCGCATGACATGAAAACGTCATCCCCACAGATTAAAGATTTGAAGTATGTAGACTATAGGCAATAGCACCAATAGGCAAAAGCACGTGCAATTCAAGTTCCTCATGTTGGTAATCTGAAAAGTATGTAAACCATTCCTGTGTGGCAGTGTCCCTCTTTCTTTCAACCTCCTTCTTCTCTATTTTTTGAGAGAGAGATTGAGGCCAACCTCATTAGGCTCCAATGGGAAGACTTTGAATAATACATGCAAATGCATTCCAAAATCCTTGGCTAGAACAACAAGAAGTCAACTGTCGACGTCGACCTCGCTAGCCTCGGCGGCGGCGTGAACATCTCCCACATCTTCTACGATTTCCAACAACATTGCTTCGCCCTCAAAGTCGTTGGTAAGAAATGGATGCTTCGTCGAAGGTGTCCTCCACCTCCTCAGTAACCCTCCTGTCAAGCTTGACTCCCAAGACCTTCTCCAGATTGATAACAATAAATTCCACCTCCTCCTTACTGTCTGCAGCATCCTTGGAAGTCTCTGCCAACCACATCCCTCATGCTCCTCCACCCCTTCTGTCGTCCGCTACACATCTACCCTCTGCATGGGTTGCGCTGCCTCCATCGCCGCATCACTCTTCCAAGAAGGGGCGGGGTAGGGCATTGAGTGATTATTTGGACGATGACGAGAAAGACAACAATAGCACTGTTGTTGCTGGTGCTAGCAAGAAATTACAGAGAGAAGGGAATGAGATGTTTGGATATGGTGGATCGAGAGGAAAAACAGGGTCATCTGGACAATTAAAGAAAAAGTCAGAAACCAGGTCAAGAGCTACTGTGCTTTCTGATCTTTGTGGTCCAGTAGAATGGATACCCATGGCAAAACTTCATTTTGAAATAGTAGAGCAACATGGAAATAACTGGCCTGTCAATGAATCCAAGGGAAGGCCATGGTTTGGATTGCTTACATTGCTGAGGAACATCCAAAACATTTTGTCATCGACACATGGTCCAAGGGGCGTGTAACATTAGAGTTCGTCTCCTTGGTGTCCTTGCTTTGATGAGTAGTTTACTTGCATGATTGAGTATTTCCAATGTGATTCTTCTTGAGGCATGGCACTGGTGACTCTGAACCCCTTTTCTCTGTTTTTTCAGTAACAAGTATTCTTAATTTATGGGTTGCTTAAAGGAAAAGTCTCCTCTTCAAAAAAAAAATGTGTAATTAATTATGATGGGTAGCAAAACCACATGTGGTAAAGAGAGTAAGAAATCATCATCACTAATTCCTTGCTCTCCTCCATCTTGAGCATCTTCAAGTGTTAGAAGCCGCACAACAGGGACGATGTAGGTGTCAAAGCAAGAAACAAGGGACAGCTGCATCGCAATGATGAAGACAGAGAGGGCATTGGGTGGGTGAACCAAATATAGACGAGAAAACCACACAGTTCATTATAAAGTTGTATACAACCCACATCTTAGATCTCGAACGGCAAATTGTTAAAGTTCGATGGATTGACTCAGCAATCAAGGATGGAAGATTGAAAGAAGAGGAAGAAATCGGCAAAGAAATAATATGAAATAAACGGAAAGAAATAGAGGATAAAAAGGTTCCTCCTTGAATGGATGGAGTTTGGATGAGAGATTGCGTCCTACGTTGACGTTCCTCCTCTTAACGGATAAATTGGGATAGGAAAAGAGGGTGAAGAGGTCCTTAGGGGGAGGAGGAGAAGAGGATAACACGTCGATAGGGGTATTTTAGTAAAAACGGATGCAAACCATTTGCACAAAGGTAAAATATGTATTTGGGGAAAAATTGATTCACCGGTTTAACATTTTCTGTCTTGGTTATCAACGGAAGGGAGGTTTTTGTCATACTAGGGGAGGTTTTTACTAAGGTGAAATGACAGAAAAGTTTTATGATTGTCAGGTTTTTATTAAAGTAAAATTACAGGAAGATTTTTATGACTGTCAGGAGAGCTTTTTTGTATTTTACCGTTTTTTTAATAGAAAGGTGCTATAGAAGACGAGGGGTGAGGCCCACGAACAAATAGAAATAAAGGAAAAGGAAAAGTAAAAGAGTGATGTTGCAAGTTAAAGCTTAAGACACCTGTAGGACAGGTTTGCACATTATTACACTAGTGCCAAGTTGATGTAGTTTTACCTCATGAAGGTATTTGGTATGGGCGTATTGCATGAGTGTTGTGTTTATACATGATTTAAGTATTAGGAGATGAGAATTAAAAGCATTTTGGACATATGTTGTATTTGTTTATTGTTGTTTATTACATGGATTTGATTATGATACCAGAAGCGCACAATACAGGAAAACCTTGTATCCAATCAATCTTAAAAGGGATAGCCAATCAGTTAATATTTATGAATTTGAATCGCGCTTCACATACACATCCAAATGTATTTGGAATATCTCCCCTTCATATCCATCTGATTTGATATTTATCAAAATTGACAAGGTTTTTATTGCTCAAAGCCCTCCAATATCATGTTTTCAAGCAGTATAGATTTATCACATTGAAATGATGTTTTATTTAAAAGTCATTTTCACATAATCCAAGAAAAATAATAGTATAAAACATTTATACTTGATCAAGTGACCAACTAACCAAATGCCTATGAGACACCATCCAATCCAAAATCAATTTGGATGGACCAACAAGACTTACTGGATTGGACCAATCCAGTCCAAAATATTTATTAGATTGGATTGGACCTGCTCCATTCGTAATAAATTTATAGTGGATTGAGTTGGATTAAGCCAATATCTGATCCATTGACATAAGACAAGAATATAAGTGTCAATGGACCAGGTTTGGGTTGAAACTAATCTAAATCAAAACGAATTTGAACCAATTAAATGGTCCAGACGTTGAATTCGATTGGTCTAAAATATTCATTGGACTGGATTGGACTTGATCCATTTATAATGGACTCACATTGGACTGGATTGGACCAAATCCAATCCAATTGACACCCCTACCTACACAAAACCACAATGCCAAAGACACCCTTGTATAGTGTTTGGTTGTGATTATTATAAACAAATACTAATTTCAAGACCAGAAACTACCTATTTTTTGCATTAATCAATTTTTAGTGCAAAATTTACTTCCACTCCACTTTTGGAAGTAGATTTTGCTACTATTTTGAAGGCAAAAACTTAAAAGGAAAAGAAAAACAAATTCACCTCGGTTCTTCTGTATTTGCAATCTTATTAAATGCAGCCCAAAGAATTAAGGGGTTTTTACCATCCACTCCACCTCAGAATTCATAATTTGATCGTACAGTTTAGATCAATGTAAAGGGAAAGATGCCAAATTCATGGGATGATATTTATAGGGGGAGCTGGGAATAAATACAATTGAGAAAATAATTTCCTAATTGTTAGGTGGAGTAAACACTAAAAAACCCAAAAATTAAAAGCAAACTTATACACTCAAAGTTGATCAATATTAAAATAGGTAAATTCCGATTTGCGTTTGTACTTTCTGACCAAATTTACATTTACATTGATACATGTAAAACATGAGGTCCAGTGGTCCACCCACCACCAACTTGAGCACGCACACCAGTCAAGGAAGTGGGTTCAGGGGATTGCCAAGTGGCTAAACAAGATGCATGCAAAAGGTCTCAACAATGCAATCAACTCCAGTTGCTGTCCTCGTTGCTATTGTTGTTATATTCACCATCCCTTGCCATTATGTTGATGATTCATACAATATTCCACGTGGCTTCTCCCTTGGGGAAGGAAGGTTTTGTAAATTCAATTAAACGTTATCCACTTCTCTAAAGCTCCCAACCCATGCCCTCCACCCAAACCTTAACGGATTGGATTGTCAAAATACAAACTCTCTCTACACATGAAAATATAAAATCTTTCCTGATTTATATTCAAATTAGCTGAATGCAATGGCTATTCAGCAGGCTGCAGAACCAATGATGATGTTCCATGCCTGTAATAAATTCATGGGTCCCACTGTGCATAAAGGCACAGGTCCCCATGTATTTTATTAATGGCGTGGAACATTATCATTGGTTCCACGGTCTGCTGAATAGCTATTGCGTTCAGCTAATCCTTGCTCCCTTACCTTACCCTCCCTGCATTTGAAGTGGTGCAGGTGGGATTGGTAGGTTGAGTCTATAACCCACATCTAATTTTCTACTAGTTCCCATTATATATAAGCAACCAATAAGTATTAACAAACATCAAAATTTTCAATTATTTAATTAAAACGGGTAAAAACATGCAAACTAACAACTATCCTTTACATAAAGTTCAAAATATTATTAAATTTAACACCTAATACATAAATTCATATGCATTTCAACAAAATGCGGGTCAAAAAAGGTCACGTTTAGCCTAATAGCATACCCTACCCGCACCCATATAGGTTATAAAATCCCAAAACCTGTCCTTACCCCAAAATCCATTTTTCAAAAAAAAAAAAAAAACTCCCATGAGATTGGTACCCGCTGAATAGGGTAGATTTAAATTGATGAGTTTCAACTTTCAAGCTGTATAGAATTTATCATATAAAGTGATCATAACTTGATTATTATCTGATGTTTTAACAAGACAAAGTTTCCTTTAGTTTAATCACAAACACTGTACTTTTATGATTTCATCCTTTTCTACATGATCTTGGAGCAAGAGACAGTTGCTGCATCAACTGTTAAAGGAAGAAAATATACATACAGGGAGAATACATCTAATTATCTAAAGATGCAATAGATCTGAGACGCCATACAAAGAAAAAAGTTACATGGCATAGTATGTCTCAAATTGCATACATCTTATACTCGGTGTCTGGATCTGAGACTACTGATATAGACCAGGAACGAGACCTGCTATCAAGTGATGACCTCCGAATGCTCCTCTGGTTCGAGGCCTCAATGCGGTGCATCACAATCCAATAGCACATTGTCCCCAATGTGGTTGCTAGGATTGTTGTCCCTATAATTGCCACCCCAATAGCCAACCATCTCTCATTTTTACCCACCACTATAAATGCAAGTGCCAAAAATGCAACTGAGACAAGTACACATGCCAACCACATTAGTTTGTTGATGATTGCCATCATTTGTTTCTTTGCTTTGCTCTCTATGACTACAACTGAGGTCTGTACCACTACAACAGCCAGAGATATGAAGAGTGCAACAGAGTCAAAGATGAAGAAGATCATGAATGGTGCTTTTGGAGCAATATGTGCTTCCCCAAGGGAGAGGCCAGGTGGAATATTTTTTGGGTCATCAACATACTGGCCAGGGACGGTGAAGATAGCAGCAAAAGCAACAGTAGCAATGAGGACAGCAACCACGGTTGTGGAGTTGATTGCGTTGTTGAGGCCCTCTGCATGCATCTTGTTGAGCTGCTTGGCGATCCCCTGAACCCGCTTCCTTGTCTGGCGTGTGTGCTCAAGCTGGTAGTGGACCCCATGCTTTATGTCACTTACGGTCTGCTTCAGTTCTCGTGCTGGGTTTGGTGGCAACTTCATAGCCCTGGCACTCTGGACACCGTACTCCTCCAAGAGTGCCACAAGTTCAGAGTACCCCATTTTCTCAGCTATGTCAATTGCAGTTTCCCCTAATCGGTTAACAGCTTTTCTATCAGTATCTGTATAGTCTAGAAGCTTCCTTACAATCTGCAGAAAAGAATAGGAGTGTGGCATGAGTGATTCTATTATTCTTCCAAAATCTGTGATTAGATGTTTCTGCACTACTTTGTTAGACCTAAGGAGTAGAGAATTTAGAATGATAACACACAGTTAAAAGTTAAAACTGGCTTATAATATAAGTAGAATATTAATTAGCATTTAATCCGTGACTCTTTTCTAGCAAATCAGCGCATGTTATTTCTGTACTGAGGGCTGAATAGGAAAGAGTTAAGTCCATCTGATTGAGTTTTCTTTTCTCATGTTTTCTTTGTTTAGTTTTCCCCAGCTGAAATTCCAAAACCAACCATGAATACGTGCATGAACAAGAAGAGCAAAGCAGAGAGAAAAAACTTGTGCTGACTTACATGCCCGAGACATGGGCAGTTCTCTTTATGCAATAAGCATATTTAGCAGACGGAGGCAGAAATTGCAAATGCTCTGAAGCAAGCTGTTCAATTAGTGATGCCAGCTACATCACAGATCTGTATTTGAAAGCCATTTTAACTCGCCAACATATTATAACCAAAAAACCTGCTTGCCACCCTTCTGTCACAAAAGAGGGGGAAAGGGGAGGGGGTGATCATAATACATTTTTGACACAAGATTAATGGACAGGAAGTGATTTAAAGTAGCAGGAACTTTAGATGTGTCGTGCTACTGGCATACTATCTTCCTGAACTTACAAATACAATTTACTCCTTACCATGAGGTGGCACTAGTACATTTTAAGATCCGATTATAAGACAAATGCAATAGCCATTTTTTTGTTAACAGTAGTTGTCTGCAGTGTTTTATTTTTATGTTTGGTATGAAGTTGTCGGCAGGTCAAGAAATGAAGGTATCTCACCTTCTAACATGCGAAGAATATAATTAAATCTATAGAATAACAACTTTGTGGCAAAAAACTCACAATTTAGGCTAATCTCATAGTCCATTTACATTGGGAGGAGATTTATGTGGAAGAACACACTTATTCATTTAGCCTTTATGAATGTGTTGAATGGGCCGATTTGTGTTTAGTTTATTTTCTTTTAAATTAAGAAGTTGTTGGGCCTTGGGCCCATTAGTTTTTATTTTTAAAAGAGTTGTAACTATTTAGTTTGAGTTGCCGCCCTACTAAGGGCATCTTTGTAATATCTCATATTTAAGTTAAATATAAATAG